ATACTCTGTAGATGATCTGTCAAACAGTTGAAATGTAACGAATAGTCAATGAACCTGAATCTATAGGCAGGATATTCAAAGAAAATGAGCTTTTATTAAAATCATATTAATTGATATTTAGTCACAAAGGATGAGCGTCTTTGGTAGGTATAAATGTGTACAGTACAAAATAATCTACTCAGTCTGACATGTGTGTAAGACAGCGTATAAGGAGTGTAGTGATTCTGCACCTGTTCCATTTGAGTAGAAACCTTCATCGCAGGGTTCACAGGTAGAAGAGTTGGTGACAAAGAAACCCGGGTTACATGGAGGACAGGTTTGCTTCTCCCCTGATGCAGGCAGCTTCACAGCTCCCTCAACAGTCTCACTGCAGATCTTAGGCTCGTTCCACTTGTACATGAGCTGAGTCTGAGACACACACAGCAAGACAAACATGAATACATGAAAGAAGCTGCCGGTTTTTCCACAGCAGACACAATCAGCCCAGACAATTTATATTTACAGAAACCCGATAGTTACAGCAGATGGTTGCTAGCCAGATAAATCTCTCTGTGTTCACCTCTACTGAACCTGCTGCATCCACACACGTCATATAATTTCCTACCTTTCCCTCAGAGTCACAGGGAGTGTGGGTGTAGAAGTAGTCACTGTTTGTACATGCAGGTCTCGGTTTGCAGCTCCCTGAACCAGCCTCTGGAAAAATACAAAAACCAGGCCAGGGGAAACAGCGGGCGTGGACGAGGGAAAACACACAGCTCACATTAAGATCCAGTGATAAGACTAATCTCACACACTCAAGCAGTAAATGCAGTATTTGCATGCAGACTTATGTGTGTGGAAACATGCAAATACGTAATGGTTGTAAGTTTAGAGATATCTGCAAGAATTATGTCAAGTTAATGAGTCAGTGATATGAGTCTTTGTGGGCGGGATCAGAAATGCAAACATGCAGACCTGCATATTTGTCTTCTTCACACTGATGGCAAACAGTGGCACCCTTGTTGGAGTAGGTCTGAGCAGGACAAGGGGTACAGCGGGCAGATCCTGGTTTTGCACTGTGGGTGCCGGGTTTACAATGGAAACACTCTGATGTGTAGGCCACCCCTGAAAGAAAACCATCAATCAACTTGTAATTATTAACAACAAAAAGGAGTTCAGGGGTGAACAAATGTTTAAAACGGCTGTCCACAAAGAACTACAGGCGATGCTCTACCTGAGATGGCAATGTTTCTCAACATAACAGGTTTGACAGCACTGCCCTGCAGACTATACGCAGTGGTTCTCCAGTACAGCACGTTGTTGCCGCTGCTCAGCTCAACCTGCACAGGGTTAATGTGAAAAATTGAGAGCTTTTATAATATGAATTCTCCAGTAAATGGCAAACAGATGGCAGCATGTGTAATGAAGTGATGAAGCAACAAACCTTGTACTGGCTCCAGTTGCTCTCAGATATCTTCATCCACCGGTTCTCAGAGTCTGTAGACTGACACTGGTCATTCTGAACCTAAAAGTTTTGGGGGAAACGAGCCAGAGGTTACATCCCGCATAAAAACAGCTATCTATGTCAACATCGAAGAGACATTTTTAATAACACTTACAAAGAACTCAAAGTAAATGCTGCCGTCGGGGTAGAAATATTCAAAGGACACAGTTCCAGGTTTCTTCAGGCTCACAGCGTAGGACAGCGTTGCAGTGCACTCGTCTGTGTTTGAGGATACATAATCACCCTTTGGTGTCCATGTTGAGCTGGAGAAACATCAGCAGCAGAAACAGTGAGAGCTATGATTGATGACAAAAGCGAGACGCATGAAAGAAAAATGCTTTTAAAATAAAGAAAAGGCGAGGCATGTACTAACTTGGAGCAGTCTGTGTGGACGTCCCTATCGTTTGTGTTCATTCCGTGGGTGACAAAACCAGACGGCAGGCTGTCCCACTCATCAAAGGCCACGCCGGTGCCCAGAGAGTAGGTGCCTGCAGCACACTTCTGGCACTGCTGCGACTGCATGTTGAGGTACTCCCCCTCACTACAAGAGAAGGCTACAAGAGGAAAATAAAATGAGGATGAAAATGTGGTAACAATTTATCATTTACACATTACAGCTGTGATACAGAGGGTGTGAAATGATATGTAAGAGTAGGACACTCACTGCACTGAGTGCCTTTGACTGGATCTGGGAGGCCTGTGCATATGTCAGCTTTGTTGGGAACCGCCACTCTCCATCGTGACCCGAGTACGTCACACTCTGTGTACTCAAAGTGATAATCTGACTGCAGGGACCAAACACAGGTGTGAGTTTCACACAGCAAGATAAAAACACACCATATGCATCAAATCCATTGAACAGAACAGAATACATTTTATTGATACATTAATACGCAAGTCAGCATGCATGTGAGGAGAAACAAGAGTTTTATTTAAAAAGGGGTCACCAGATTGTTTTATACTTCTGGAATTTGTTTTACAAAACCAGGCAAACCTCTTTTCCAAATAAAAGTTGAGGCTAATATTTGCCCAGGAAGCCGTCTCAACTGTTGTTTTAATCTCACTCATCAAGGATGTGCTGCAGACTCCCTTCAGGGTTTATTTACTTAGCCAAGGGGTATAAATGCTGATTCGTCCAATCCTTCTGTAAACATTTAATTTTAGTGTTGTTGCAGGAGTTTGGGGACAGCGGGAGCTCAGGTGCAAAGCTTTGGCTGTACTTGTTTGTCGGGCTTTGACACCTTTTGGAGATACTTACAGTAGGTGACTGACAAACACCATCCTACCCTTATTAATATAATTTGGGTTGTGACATAAAGGTTATCTTGTTGATCTGATATCCTCTGAAACATGTCATGAATACTGAGCAGTGTAATCTTGGTCAGCAGTTAGCTGTAATATTTGAAGGAAAGTCATTCAGGACAATAATCAGAGGCAGAGGAGTGTGTTCAGTGGCAGACTGCTGTCCCAATCCAGCTCCACCAACAGACTGAAAAACTCTTTCATCCCCCTGGCCATAAGACTGTACAACAGCTCTCAGTAAAGGCAGGGAGGACAACAGATAATAGACAATAGACAATTTCTACCTCCATTTGCACTGTTTTACTTCCATTTGCACTGTTTACTGTAGCTACGATTAATTTTATATATATTATATATATATAATATTTTATCTTTTATTTTATTTTTAATTTTATTCTTAAGGTTAGGGTTTTTAATTTTAGTTTAATGTATGTTTAATGTATGTAATGTATGTTTTGTATTTTGTATGCTACTGGATACTTGAATTTCCCTCTGGATGAATAAAGTATCTATCTATCTCTATCTATCTAATCCAAGCCCACACACGGCCTTGTGGGATTAATAGTTAACAGAAATACAGCAGCAGCAGCACTCCTCCGGGTCTGTGTTTTTCATTTAGAGCTGCTACATTAGCTGTGGCTGGGGTATCGGATGAACACAGGTCTGGGTGGGAGGATCTGATGTAAAAATGCATCAAGGTGGAGATGTTCTGTAGCTTAATCGCCTCCTTTAAACAAACATGAGGAAACCAAGGCAACGGGACATAATGACCTGCTGGGCACCATGGCGGTGGACTGGCATGGAAACAAACTCACCGGATTAAAGTAGCTTTTCCCCCAAAATCATCCTCATCTATGAGCTCGACAGACTCCAGATAAAACAGAATATTAACACAACTTCTCCCTCACACCTCTGATAAAAAAAGAAATGTTTGGAGTATTATCAGACGGTACTGTTGTTATGCAAACCAGATATAGAAGGGTGAGGAGAGCAGAGCAGACGGTGTAACATATGGAAACTCTAGTAAAATAAGTGTGTGATAACCACAACACCGAGGCGAGCAGAAGTATATGTGGTAGGCCAGTGTTATAGTATCCTATTGGATTGTACCTCCTCAAACGTCCCATCATAAAATGTACACTTCTTTTTATTTGGGTTTAATTTTTATGACTAAAGAGGCAATCCTCCAATAATACAACATTTAAGCATAGCAAGGTAACATGTCTCCTTGCATTATCAGACATATGTGTAACTGAGTGAAGCTGTTTAAGGGGCCTCATGTCAGCTATCTGTCTGGTAAAATATCTGGCCCCAAAGGGCAACAAATTTCTTATTTTGCTAGATTTAATATAATTTTCATCAATAAGTAATTTACACATTAAACTGTCATAATAAGAATAAGTGAGTTGACAAATAATTTTAGCTTTGGGTGGCTTGTTATTCATAACAAGGCTAATTAAAAAATATGAGTCCCCTCACCTCTTTGCACATGGGCAAATCCGCAGAGGTTTGTGCAAGAAGCAGCCACAATAAAAGGTGGCTCAGGTGTGTCCGGCCTCCCTGCATCGTCGCCTCCTGTCAGTGCTGAAGTGATGGAGACGGAGGAGCAGAGGGCTGGCCTGCGCCCTCAGGTGCTGCTGGAGGCGGGGCTTCACTCTGAACGGTGGACAAACACTGGGAGGTGATTGGCTGAGTCACCTCTGACTCATCGTTTAATACGCAGGTTGACGTGTATTTTACCTGCCTTCTGCTAGTATTATTATTGGGACATTTAACGTAGAAGTGAGCCCTTTATTGGTATGTTCAAGTACAAAACATTACATTATTATGATTATTACATTATGTCTTTTTTAGCAACTGATGTCAAGTAGTGTGTTTAAAAAGTAGCATTTATTTCAAGGCAATTCAAATAGACCCATGATGTGTGGGGACCAGAGTTATTAAAGTTTTGTACAGCCTATTTTATTTTATTTTTATTTTTTTTATTCAGTTTAATTTCAGTTACTACTCAGAGTGGGTTTGGTAGTTCAGTTTTTTACTGTTTAATTAGTTCCAGTATTAGTTTCTTTTATTATAATAAGGAGGGCGTGTTTGCCAAGATAACAGAAGTTCAGAATAGGTATTACAATACAAACACTCACAGTCATGTGGTAGACCTCCCAGTCTCAATGAACATATGCACCAGTGCCTCCTCAGGCTCGTCTAGTTCACAAATTTGACCAAATTGACCAAAGACTAAAACCAAAGGTATTTCCTGTATTTTTATCTTTATTTTTTTGTTTTGTTTTGTACACAATTATGTTACAGTTAGTTTTAGGTTTTTCTAAAGTTTGGTTCTTATTTCAGTTAACTGAAATGTTTGTTCAAACCTAGTTTGATGGGACAAGAAACTTTCGACAACAGTCGTTTTCTTTTGAAAGGCTTAACCGGAAGTTTGTGGTTGCTAAGTTACCAGGTTTTAAACAATCTAGCAGCTAGCTAACTTATATTATAACGTTACAAGCTAACATTGGACTTTAGTCTGTCGAGCTTCGTGTTGTCATTAAATATGTCTGGTCGGGATCCTTTCCCCTTCCCAAAACTTGAAAACGGCTTCACTCTCAGCGGCTTCCGGCCGCAGCAGCAGGTGGGTCTTTAAATCGATAATAACTGTTTGTCTGCTATTCTTCTTACCTAACGTTACCTAGACAAACAAAACCTGTTGAGATTTATCTTAAAATACACATTTCCTCCTCTGCCATTATGAATGAACATAATCTACTATATTCTGTGTTTCTGTTGTTAAATGATGAACCTGCTGAAATATTACATGGTCCGGGGTTAAAGGTCCAGTGTGTGAGATTTATTGAATCTCATTCATAGGTTTCTTTTCATTAGTGTATAATCAGCAGAAAATAAGAATCGTGTTTTCGTTGCGTTACCTTTTTATCTGCAGAGGGAGCGGGTCCTCTTCTACGGAGGCTGCCATGTTAAAGCGCCCTGTTTTTACAGTAGCCCATAATGGACAAACCATTAGTTTGTGGTACTCATAGTTAATAGTAACCATAGTTGCTCCTACATGCTTGGAACGGGAGCTCGTATTTTTTCCTCAGGATGGCGAAGGAAATAAAACAGCCCTGTCCTGTGCAGCTAATAAATACATCAGAATTTTTCAGATAGCAGACTATAAAGATTAAAGAAAAAAGTACATTTTATCAAACTGTAAATTTGTATGTAAGTATACTGCAACACAGCAGACACCTTTTGAATCACTTCAATTCTAATTGTGTACAAAACATTTACATTTTGAAGTGTATTTGTTCACTATAAGTTAAAAGCAACCTTTTTGAGCTCCGTCATTGTTGACTTATCTTTATTATAATACTTTTTATATATACTTATTATAATGAATCCGATGTTGAATCTAACAAAATTAACATAGATGGTGAAGTCATCAAATACAAATCATTTACTGTTATATTAGTATTATTGTGCTGCAACATTTGTAGGATTTCATTTGAAAGCATACCGACTTTGGAAGATTGAAATTCATCAGTCCAGCTATTAGAACGACCCTTAGCAATTAATGTCACTCATTGTGTGATTTAGATTTGCAGTGATTCCTTTGTGCCATCATTTTGATCAAAAAGATATTTCTTTATTCATTTGGCATTATTTTTTGTCCTTGCCCATTGTGCAGAGAAGATATGATACGCCAACTCACATCGCCCAAACAGAGGAACCGTGGAGTCGCCTCCATGATACAGCCACCTTGGCCAGCACCCGGAGGAGTGTTATGCATTATGAGCGTCAGGTAACATCCGGCAGAAGTGATTTTGACCTTCACTTAAAAAAAAAAAAACCTTAATATATTCTGACGGACTCTCACTACAGCTCTTTTCTCAACTTCAGTCTCCAAACGACAGCCTCGACTTCCAGCTAAAGTCTGTCTACGACCACCACAAGGACTTCTTCTGGACAAAGAACGAGGTTTTATATCAGAAGGAGACACTGTCTGAGGACCAAAGGTGGGTGTTTCTGATGTTAAGTATGTGGCCTGATAGTGGCATTTCAGGAGTCTAAATATTCAACTGTGTTCATTTATCATGTCTTATGTTCATTTATAGGAAAAAGGACAACTCAAAGCAGGACCTGCTGGAAAAGGAACAAGAGAAAGACATCAGAGTTTGGGTCGATCCACAGAAGTGCTCCATTTACAGCATTAAGTGAAGCACAGGTGAAGTTCAGTTATATTATGACATCTAGCCAATGCTGCAGATGTCTAGTGGAGAAACTAACATTAAACTAACATTAACAAGACTGGTGTAAACCAACCTAAACCCAGTGAGTCTAGGGAGTACCTGGCTTTGTCTGGAGCAAGGTGTGTCCCAAATACCAAAACAATGGCTTTTCTTTTGCTCCACAGGCATCTTCAAACAAAGGCTACACTGGGGAGAATGATGGTAGCTTCCAGTCCTTCTCCTGTATCTCTAACAGCGACAATCATCAGAGCTCTGTAAATAAATGGGTTCTATCTGTGCACTTGTGTGGGATTTTTTTTAAGCCATTGAAACTGAATATTGAAAGGTGATTCATGGAAAGCAAACTACTTCACACTTAGAATGTCAAAAATGCAAATTGAAGCGCAATGACATATGTAACAGAAGTGAATATTCTAAACAAATTCAATATATTCATTTACAGCAGAATATTTTATTAAAAATGTGCAAATGAGTTAACAAATATGCCCCATGCATATTTCTATTTTCTGTAAACCTGTTTTATAATGTTCTCTTTGAAACAAAGAACTTCAACAAATGAAAAAATATAATATGAAAGACTCTTCCACAGAACAAAGTTAAAATCCTCTGTCTAAGGTTCATCTTTCTCAAACAGATCAGCTAAAACTGGAATTCTTTACAATAGATGATACATTCTTTACAATAAACAACATTTGTCAGTTAATTTAATTGGACAATAATTAAATAGAGGCCAGACGGGTTGCACTGATGGATTTACGCCCTGGCTTTTCTTTGGAGACACCGTCTGATGAAAGCCTTCTCATCCCATTGGTTGGGAGGAAGCATGTGGGCACCGTTATGGACACAAAGGACAGTCATCTCCTCAGCATACTGAAGATTCTGCAGGAGCTGAAGAGTAACACAGCAGGGGAAAACTTGTTAACATACAATAATTTATTATTTACACATCCAGCAGTTACAGACCAACATTGGCATTTATTTGGAGCCGTGTAAGTAACTTACACAGAAGGTGTAAAAATACACACACACACACACACACACACACACACACACACACACTCAATGAGTTCAATTTCTTTTTACCATCTGAACTCATTAGAAGGTACAAGCACTTACTTTAGGTGTTATGAAGAAGTACTGGGATGTTGTCTCTTTGCAGGCTGTGCGGACCACAATGTCAAAGACTCTTCTCTCGTTGACAGGATCCATTCCCTACACAAAAGAGACAAACAGTCTCAGTCACTGTGAAGTGAAGCCAACAAGAAGTCTCTCAAACCTGCATTATTTCTAACGGCCAACAGGGGGCAGCTCCACGGGCTGCAAAAATAGAAGCCCAATAGTAATGACCCTACTTCTCACATCATTCATTAGCTCAGTAAACAGTTTGCTAATGAGTTTATGGTCTCAATCACTAGTCTTCTTCCACGATGCCAATGGTGGATGTCACAGTACGTCACAGCCACATAAACATGCTTCTTTTGCACCTCTTCAAATTTCGAACTGATCTTTTTCTAGTATCTAGTCATATTTTGGCACTGTCCTTAAATATGTATTTCTAAGCAAAAAAACAACAACATACAAACCCAATTTTTAGTCCTTTGAGTTTAACCCTCAAGTTTTTTTTATATACTTCGACTATTAACACATAATTGGTCATCAATTGTATCCTGTCTAAACTGAACATAATGCACTGACACATAATGCCACTTAGACGGACATAGTTTTAATGATTCAATAATTAAAGTAGCTTAAGTTGAAGAGCAGTTCTGTTTTTATGTTCGTATTATCACATATCAAGAACTGTTTTGACTGAGGGTTTGAGTGTGTGTGAGCACTACCTGGTTGATCTCGTCTACCACTCTGAAGGGGCAGCGGTTGAGCTCCTGTAGGGCCATGAGGTAGAGCATTGTGGAGACGCTACGCTCTCCTCCACTCTGATGGTAGGGCGTCAGCTCGTGGAGCTGCGTGCTGCTGTGAAACTTCACCCGAATTCGGATCCCATATTTGTCATACTCCTCCTACAATGACAGACAGCAGACATTTAATTAATAACTGACATTTCTTTATTGCTTGAACAAAAAAAAAAATGACCACAGCATCTATTAGAGCTTGACAGGATTTAATACAACCTTGTAAAAAAAACTTGTGCGTAATTCAGTTGGTTAACTGGGAAATAGCAGTTACAAATATCAAAAAGATCTAACGTGAATAATTCAATATGAGCAATCCTCATATGCAACCACTGAAATCCCCCTTCAACCCTGAGATATCATTCAGGTTTGTGATTCCTGTAAGCATTTACCTCATTCTCTGAGTGCAGATCAACTTCTCCTGCACACTGCATGGAGCGGAAGAAATCACTGAACTTGCCATTAATCTGTTCCACCAGCTGCTTCAGCGGGTTCAGCCAGCGCTCCTTCGCCTGAGACACACACACACACACACACACACACACACACACACACACACACATTACACACATGTATACACAGGATGGCCATGCTGTCAAATATGAAATCACAGATTGAAAGGAATTTCTTTACAAATCAATCCCAGAGGAATCACTGCAGTGACAGATCATGTACCTCTGATATGTTCTGTCGGTAGGCGTTCAGGGCGTTGCTCTTATCTTCCAGGTCTTTCTCCAAATGCTTGATCTCCTGCTCTCTCCTGTTGTACTCGTCAACAACCTTCAAAGCAGAGAGAATTAACATGAGAAATAGTTACACTGTGAGGGTACATGCTACAATGAGCCTGTTTACACCTGGAGTGACCACTTGTGATCAGATCTCACTTCCCTGATATAATAACTTAATGGGTAATGTTTCCCGAATTTACAAGAATGTCCAAATAATTAACAATATGTCGTGGACAACGTCTCAAAGTTCCTCCTCACTCAATAACTTAATTTTAAGGGAGTTTTTAAGGGATATTGTGGTGACTAGTTCAATTGTATAGTTCAGACAGACAGTCTGTAAACATCTGCTGCTTATCTCTGCAGGTAAGAGCCCAATCACACAATCTGCATTACAGTGAACTGAATGGGCAGCATGTTGTGTACTTACAGGACAGGTTAAGTAGGTGGTCATTCTATGTGGCCCAGGTCACATTAGCGTTTACACTACAATCCCATCCCAGACCAACCCAGCAAGAGGTTTGTGATTGGATCACCCAAGACGCATTCTAATACCAGGTGTAAACAGGCTAGATGAGTTCAGACTCACAATGAGTGCAGCCATTGTCTCTATGTTTATGATCAGAAAAAGGCTATTCTAGTGAGGTCTGATGTTTCCATGCAGGAACAGATGGATCTGAGTTAAAAGAAGATAGGCTCAAAATGTATCTAATCTCTGAGGATATTCTAGTTTCTGAAAATAAATCTTTGTAGAAGATTATATAGACAAAAACAAACAAAAAAAAATCCCTCAGCTGATTCTTGTGGGCTCTTACATTTTCACTGAGGCCAGTGAAGCACTCAGCTCTGGACCGCTCCTCATTCAGCATGGCATCGATCTCGTCTAGCGTGTCGGGCAGGTTGCTGAAAGCCTGCATTGACGAAAAATCAAGAACCATGAACATTTCATAAACTAAAATTAACAAAATTTGTGTTCAAAAGGCCTCAACAGCAGCTACTGGACCACATGACGAGGATAATATTCCATAGAGAGACAGACAGAAGAGACAATATAATTAACACTAACATTACGAAGGTCTTCAGGTAATGACTCATCAGGTTGCATTCTGCAGATTGTCTTTGCTCTCTTCAACAGGCCTTTGCATTGTTCTGTCAGCTGGACCTTCCTCTGATCCAGACGACCGCATTTTTGCTGCAGGAGCACAGGGACAGTTAGCATACACCACTGATACATAACAAGTAGGTATAGGAGTTATCTATAGAGTAGATAAAGGCGTTTGTGAAACACGTACATCAGTGGTCTTGAGTTCAGAAGCACCTTCTCTACAATCATTCTCTAGCTTGGTCTTCTCAGCCGTCAACCCCACTGTCTCCAAAGCCAGGTACACTTTTTCCATAGTCAGCTTAGCTCTCAGCTACAGACCATAGAGATACACAGATAATGAAAGAGACAAAGAGTCAGACAGTTGAAGACACAAAATAGACTAAGATTAAGAGGGCAGGTTTTCACATTTACAGCAAGACTTGAAAAACACCATTTCCATAAAATCAATGATCACACTATCAAAAATACATAGACACAAAGATAATGTCTGCTAGAAGGAAGACTTGTTGTGCAATAAAGACAGGCATAGCATGGAAACACATAAGATAGGTACAGTCCCAATGTGGAAGTACAGTTATTAATCAATAATCTAAACATCATCTTATCACAGCTATCTAATGCAAAGCAGTCATACACAGGTCCTTCGTTCTAAGTGTCTGTAATCCATGGTATCCATACCTTCATCTGAGCAATGAACGCTGTGACTATGGTCACCTTCTGGGAATTGACAGCTGCAATTTTCTCTTTAGTCTCCTCTTCAATCTTCTGCAGGTCAATAACATTCTGCTCCATCTGCCTGAGACTAAACATGTGGAAAGAGAGAGTTAGACCAGTTTCAATATATTGACCAATATGAACCAAACAAATACATCTCTGCAGAGACAATTTATGAATACAGTCATAAGTCAACATATAACAAGATACAGATGAAAACATTAAATTCTGTGCCTGTTGAGCCATTTGACCCTGTAGGATAGACCCACCTGTCCTGTTTGGTGCTGATTTTCTGCTCCAGTTGTCTCTTTTTCCCCTTTAGTTCAGAAAGCTGCTTCTTCTCAGCCAACAATTCATTGTCACGGCGATCCAGTGCGGTGGCTTCCTTCTGCAGGGCCTTCATCCGTTCATCAATGTCTCGTAGCTTTGACTCACAGGTCTGGTCACAGTGAGGGTTAGCAGTTAAACTCTTGCCTTAGTTAAACTCCTAAAACAATTAAACTCTGAAGTATAAAGATGTCTCAAGATATTGTACATTTATAGGAGTACCAGATCCTTGATTTATGAAATGTTGGAGTCAAAGAAAAGGGTGTGGGCTGTTTCCTCATCACCTTCATCTGCTGCTCCAGCTGTCGTTTCTCTTCAGCATCCACAGTGATGGTGAGGTACTGGGAAGGGTGCACTGCAGAGTTACTGGTGCTAATTTTGTTGGAGTAAAATGACCTCTTCAATGTGTACCTCTCCTCTGTTGTGTAGAACACCCTGAGGTAGGGCTCCTCTATCACCTGCCAGAAAGAAAATGGACACAAACATCTCAGTCAGCA